GATGTTGTCGTAAAATACCTATTGGCTAATACGAAATAAACAGGCATAAGATACTGAACAACTACCAGAAATATCAACAACTGCTATATCAAGCCGAAATAAACAACAGCACTCTCCTCGACAACACGGTACACAACATACTGTAAGTACTCTCCTCATTCCGTGCTAAGAAATACTCTCCAAACCAAACCTCATGCACTTTAGATTACGAAGCCGTTACCTGAACAAACATAGTCTACACCAAACTAGATGTAACAACAGGTATTTACCTACATTTTCGCGAGATTCTCACTTCGTCGTTGAAGTAAGAGCCACATATTAACTCGAACGTACCGGTTCATTAGTATGTTTTCAACCGCAAAACGTGGCTCGATGAAATTAAGTCCTGAATAGGAAAACAAGACTTTAGAGTGGCATGGATTCATTGATATAACACATCGAGGACTAATGGACGTGTGAGGTGAGTCTCCAAACCTAACTAACCAACCACACATCACAACTCTAGAATCGAAGACGAAAACTGCAGATACTTTAGAATAAGCTGCCAAGTTGTGCCAGTTACTTGCTCAGTCATACTGCGTCCATGCACTACAAGGGGTAGCGCCTTTCCTTTGTCTCTCATCTTCCTCCTTCTATATTATATATTTTTTGGAGCGAACGGGGTCGCCACTAGACCAGTGCGTAAAAAAGTGCACGAGTATGGTTGTGAGTGCTTGTTCCGTGGCTGCTCCGAGAGGACAGCTGTTGTGCGTGTGCTGGGTGTTATTCACAATTGCCGCTCGTCGGTAACTCAACTTCCCTTAACGTCAAGCGTATTAGTGCGAGGCCGATCTTAACAAATCTGATGTTCAAACTAGGAATGCCTCTATTCTACAGCGTTTTCCCGGATACTCGTTGATGATTCCACCAACTGATGCTCGAGCACACACAAACACAACCTCGTAGTATAGCTAAGAGATACGTCGGACCATTTAAATACAAGTAACGCAACTTGCCACTACAAAGACAGGTCTCACTGTTGGGAAACCCAATGAAAGTGTACAGTCCTTGTGGTTGTCAACAGTTATTAAAAAACTGAATGAACTCCTTCGTTCACATAAGAGAACGAACGGCAAGTTTATCCAACCCTACTCGTATTTCAACCTCGAAATACTGCGAAAACCTTAACAGGAACTACACGCTCACAACATACTGTAATATTTCCCACCAAAAACCCAAGCAACCACAACAAATACAACTCAAGAACAAAGAAACACCACAATACAAGTAACGCAACTTGCACTTACAAAACAGGTCCACCCAAGTAAAGTTACACGTCCTAGCACAATTAAAAAACACAAAAACTCCTTCTTCACATAAACACACCACGTTATCACAACCCACTCGTATTCAACCGAACGCGAAAAACCTTAACAGAACTACACGCTCACAATACTGTAATATCTCCACCAAAACCCAAGCAACCACACAAATACAACCTCAAGAACAAAGAACACCACAAATACAAGTAACGCAACATGCACTACAAAGACAGGTCACCCAATAAAGTTACACGTCCTAGCACAGTTAAAAAACGCAATAACTCCTTCTTTCAGAAACAAACCCACTCGTATACAACCCAAACGCAAAAACCTTGACAGCACTACTAGCTCACAAAATACTGCAATATCTCACCAAAAAACCCAAGCAACCACACAAATACAACCTCAAGAACAAAGAAACACCACAAATACAAGTAACGCAACTTGCACTACAAAGACAGGTCCACCCAATAAAGTTACACGTCCTAGCACAATTAAAAAACACAAAACTCCTTCTTTCACATAAACACACCACGTTATCACAACCACTCCTCGTATTCAACCGAAACGCGAAAACCTTAACAGAACTACACGCTCACAACATACTGTAATATCTCCACCAAAAACCCAAGCAACCACACAAACACAACCTCAAGAACAAAGAAACACCACAAATACAAGTAACGCAACTTGCACTACAAAGACAGGTCCACCCAATAAAGTTACACGTCCTAGCACACTTAAAAAACACATAACTCCTTCTTCACAGAAACACACCACATTGTCACAACCCACTCGTATACAACCGAAGCGCAAAAACCTTAACAACACCACAGGCTCACAAAATACTGCAATATCTCCACCAAAAACCCAAACAACCTCACAAATACGACCTCAGGAACAAAGAAACACCATAAATACAATTAAAAAACACAAAACTCCTTCTTCACAGAAACACACCACGTTATCACAACCCACTCGTATTCAACCCAAACGCAAAGCCAAAGAAACACTTACACAATAAAGTCTATTTAATAAAATTACAGGAATTATTATAATGATATTTTTGTTTTGTTTTCTTCTTTCCTGATAGCGTTGACTATTGGGGCCATTAATAGCTATGTTGGTAAGTATGAATTACATACTATCCCTAGATTTCCAATGTGAGTGTGTGAATATTTATTTTATTTTTATTTTTCTTTAGAACCCTACATAACTTCACCAGACACAGACACAGACACTAATCGTTACTTGATTTTAATCCGTGCGATTAGTTAACCAGGCTAGACCTGAGTTCTCACAAGAAACACCGACCATAATAGATTTATTCTGCAGTGTAGGTACACAATGAAATTACATATTTTACGTAAAATAAATAACAATAACAATAACACTAGCAGAAAAGGTCAGCAATCAGTTGTGCAGGTAAGCAAACCCCTGCAGAACTGGTCTTCCCTGCCACCCAACTTACAATTATAACACAAAACAAAGAACGTGCTCAGCTCAATTTATAACAAAACTCTGTAACATGAAGTTAATAACCTTTGACGCAACATATGTATAGGATCCCCGAAATTGCATTGTCCTATGCATCGGAGTGACAGCAAGTACTTTACCGCGCGTATTTCTATTATGAATTTCTCTCCGGTAATGAATTTTTTTATGTAAGTAAGTTGGGGTACTATTTTTTACAATTCCTAGACACAATCGAGAGTAATGTACTATTAGTTATTTACATAATATGTCATGAACGTGGTCGTTTACATGACGCCAAGTCAGGTGGACTCACTTTCATGACGTATTATGTATAAAATTTTACTTGAAACCGCAACATGTAGATAACTTTTCCAAATTAAATTATTCATATGTGTGAAATTTTGATACCTAATCACGCATGCTAAAATCACTTTATTTAATTGTTTCCATAGAGATGTCAAAATAATTAAAACAATCAGTGTCATTTTTAATTCAGTTTGCAGTTTATGCTTTGTACTTTTCAACTATACAGTCTTTATAACTAGGTACAAAGCAGGTATCAGTGAAGAAGAGTACCTACGCGAGACGTTGTTATAATGTAGCCGAACCTGCGGGCGCCGTAGTGCAATATTCGCTCCCCACAAAGTCAAGAAAGATGTACGAAAAGGCGTACAAACATTTTAATGACTGGCGCAAAACTAAAGGAATAATTACTTCCACACATATTCCAATTGTTAGTAATTAAAAAACAATTATCCTTTGTGTGGGTATATTAATATTTAAAAATAGCCACATAGTGTGCATTATAATTATTCAATTGTTGATTGAATAACTTATTCAATGAATGATCTAATTGTTATTTTGCATATACTAGGACTGTAATGGGAGTCAGGCAAAAATATTACAGTACTAGTCAGGTAAAGATCAACTTTCTAATGTCAAAATAGCCCTGAAATTTAGATTTTCTTGACGGTTTCAGGTAAATGATGATGAATAAAATTATTATACGCTCGATTATATGTCAATTATATCTGTCATATGTGATATATAAAGCAGTCTATTACGTCCAAGGGCATAATGAGAGAGCATAAGGGATTGTCATCTCATTATAGCCTCAAACGGGTATAACTTTAATGTTGGGCAAACAATAATCAAGACATTTGTATATTGGAAATGCATTCTTTGGAACGATGAAAAATAAAATGTTGTATGCACCTCAGGCATTACTCAATATTTAACCCTCGGGCAACCTACAATCCCTTGGGCCGGAGACCCTCAGGCTCTGTCGCCCTCGGCATAAATATCGCCTTAATGCCCTTGATGCATAAATAACTATTAAAGAATTGAACAAAAAATTAAGTTTATTCAATGTTTAAAGTTTTGACAAGATTCAATGCTAAATGACCAGTAATTTTAGGTATAATTCAAAGGGCATTAAGTTACAATCACCAACGTTTTCTTTAAAACCCCACTCTGTTATTAAAATGATATCATTTAATGAATTTAAGTGTTTTACTTTCGAATTCGCCTAGGTCTATTCGTTAACTTACGTTCGCATACGCAATTTGAGTGCATCACTAATAATAGTTATTTACATAAATAAAAGTCAGGAAAAAGACACATTACTGGCGAGGAAATATTGAAGTACCGAGGGCCGAGTACCTACTTTAATTCCCGAGTCTAGTAGTGTCATTTTACTGACGAGATTTGTATTAAACTTTACCCGAGGGCGCGTCTCTAAATTCTGTATTTTTTGTGATTTGAGGACTCATGGGTACCTACATACATATAGAATCATAGCTACGCTGAAAGGCCTTGTAAAAACCTATTAAAGCAGTACCTAGTGGCGATGTGGCGAGGGCGACCATAAAGAAATGATGCGGTAGGGAAGCAGAATTTGTAATACTAGGCATCAGGATGTTGTTTTTAATATAATATATTGTTGTCTTTTTCTATAAAGTTGATGACATAAAGATAATAATTTCGAGCACGTGTAGTGTAGAAATACCCTCTCCACTTCCAATAATTCCAGCTACATTACATAATGTACATTACAATATCGGCGGAACATTTTTAATAGAAAGTAAATGCCGAATTAATAAAAGTTCATTTACATTCATGATTTAAGATTTGGTAGTAACTAATTTATTCCCCCGATTCCCGAATGCTTTTTATGCCCTACATACCTACATTCGCTTAGTTTCTCTCGTCGCCGTATGTACAAAAGCGCTGCGACGATATTGATCGAAAGCATTCCCTGCTGATAGAAAGTAGACATTGATTGTTGTTAGTTAAAACCGTGAATATGCAAAGGCTTGATAATGGAGATTATGAGTATTCCCATGCGACAAACTATCAGGAGCGACCGTCCACAAGGCCCCTTGTCGATCCAGATGCACAGGGCGAAGTGGATCCAACCAGGTACGCAATGATATTTACCCCAATTGGTATATAAGCATGCTCTTCCAGTTACCCTCAACCGAAGGAAGCAACGCACAAAATTAGGGGTAGATCGGATGTAATTGAGTTACTATTTGGCGCCGTAGATCAAGAATTGTTAATCGTAAAGAGCTTCTATTTCTTTTTTTATTCCGCTTTTGGATCTCTTTTTCCACTAATGGGTGTCTACTTTAAACAAATGGGAATGAATGCAAGTCAGTGCGGCTTTCTAATAGGATCACGTCCGTTTGTCGAATTTCTCGCGGCGCCTTTCTGGGGAAGCCTCGCAGACCGGTGGCAGAAAGGAAAAATATTACTATTGGGATCGTTGGCGGCGTGGATAATATTTACCGTTCCAATCGGATTCATTCAGCCGCCCCCAACGTCGTGCATTGAAATAAAGAACGATGGATTATACATAAAAACCTACGAGAGGAACCCAACTAATCAATCGAACTGGTACGCGAGCAATAAAGAGATTGAAAGTTTAAGGTAGGTACGTCGCAGTTTTGTAACTAAGAGTAATTTTTAAAATTTTAGAGCCTATCGATCTAATTTTCCTGCGGTGATCGCCGGACAGTCACCAAGAAATGTTGATTTTGTGAAAAATTACGAACCACAAAAACACGAAAGTTGGGTGCAACCAATTATTTCTTCCATTGTGTATAGAGTACAAGACATTCAAAAGGCTTTCTTCCTTTTATTACTTTTAGTTATAATTGGCGAATTTTTTAGCGCACCGGCGATAACTCTGGCCGACTCTGCTGTAATAACTCTCCTCGGCGAAGATGCAGACCGCTACGGTCACCAAAGAATGTTCGGTTCTTTAGGTTGGGGATTGGCGATGTTTTTTGTTGGAATTGCTTTGGATCACTCGACCGCATTTACCGATCATCCGTGCGAACCGGAACGAAAGGAAAAAAATTACACCATATGCTTCGCGACGTTTTCGGTCTTGATGGGAGCGGCCTTAATCACGGCCACTCAGATTAATTTTAAGTACGATGTACCAGAAGAAGCGCCGGCTAAGAAAGAAGAACAACCGACGTTGACATATGAAGATAAGATGCAAGCGCAATTAGCTGAGCAACTTCAATTACCTTCCCTTGCGGATACAAGGGCGTCGGTAAACACCCAACCTCTCCAAGAAGAAAATGTAAGTGTACAAAATTGTGTTACGATACTAAAACAGATTGATTTAGACAAAAATGTTTGCGCAAACCACCCGAGAAATTCCCGAGTGGATCACAGTCTTACAGCAATTCAAAAATTTAAAATGTGCTTCTTTTCTTTTTGTCGCGTGGTTTATGGGTTTTGGTATAGGGCTGATTTTCACATTTCTGTTCTGGCACTTGCAAGACCACGATGGAACACCGACTCTTTTTGGTGTTGCGTCCGTCATAAATCACATTTCAGAGATATTTGCATACTTCTTCAGCTTTAGATTAATTTGCCAGATAGGGCACGTAAAAGTGTTGTGTCTTGGACTAATAGGAAATACTTTACGATTTTTGTACATTTCATGGTTGCATAGCCCGTGGTGGGTTCTACCGTTTGAGTTTATGCAGGTGAGTAATTGTTACTGGAAGATTGTTAACGCAGCTGCGATTGTTGTAGGGTATTACTCATGCAGCGGTGTGGGCAGCGTGTTGTTCGTATATAGCTCACAACACGCCCCAACAACTAAGATCGTCCGCCCAAGGCGTCTTACAAGGAATTCACCATGGCCTAGGCAGAGGGTGCGGAGCTGTTATAGGTGGAATGTTTGTAAATTCTTTTGGTTCAACTGCGACATTTCGCGGTTACGGTCTAACGTGTTTAGTTGTACTGGGTGTCTTCGTCTTCATTAATTTTTATCGACAAGATCAAGGTTTTCTAAGAGATATTCCAGCGACGGAAGATCCTAGACAAGTGGCCGAAGAAACGTCTCATCTAGCACCACATGGCGTTCCAAGCAATCCAATACCACGTGCTCTGTCAAGCTCCCGACTAAACGAACTTGCCCAGCAAGATGGATACGGTGCTACTTATCAAACTGGAACTGGAGGAACGCTAGATGTTCCTGGTGCTCCATCAAATCCATTTGTACAGGGCAATCAACAATTTCAGGTGAGTTCGCTCTAAAATATGGCCCCTCCCTCTGTTGTTATAATCGGTCGATTTTTTGCTTTAAACGATTGAAATATTCATATAATCTGTATCTGGATGGGTGCAATTAATCAAAATATCACCGCATTTATAAATGGTATTGGCAATCGATCTGCATTTCCACAGTTACGAGGTTTATCTGCGCCATGAGCTTAAGCCATTAGATCATGTTCAATGTTCGATTTCAAAAAATCATATTTGTGACACATTATTGATGACATGGGATGGGAATGATATTTTTTGGAACATTTTTTAAAATAAAATTTGCATATTTTTGTATTCGTTCAGTTGGTACAAAGTTGCTCTTATGTTCGAAATGTAATTTATAATGTAAATTTAATTAACACGATTTGAATAGGACACTTCGCGCCTTCTTTATTGACCAAAAAATGCTTTGATATCCAATGACCTCATTGTAGGGATCCAAACAGTCACCTCTGCGATGTGGAGCGACCATTCCTTCACCGGCTACCACCTTGCGAACCCAACAACCCATTAGTACTGCTAATACATCTTACGATTGGTAAATGGCTACTAATACCACCATTTGATGTTATATAAATATTGTAATTTAAATGTTTCAACCTAAAAACGAACTGAATGCGTACAAGCAAAACATGTAATAATTAGATGGAATAATCCAATTCTAATAATACTCAATAATCTAAGTATTGTAAATGTATATCTCTAAGTAAAGAAATATTTTAGTAAGAACTGTGCACTACATATTGGGCAATTTAATGATCTTAGTTTATTGCAGATAACTTACTACTTATACTGTGTTGTAATTATATGTTTACTTAAAATTTGAATGGCATGTAAATACCACCCCTTAGTTCTTGCTTCATATAGGCAAACATTTTCTAGCATCTAATTATTGTAGCATATACATTCGTTTTAGGTCTGAAGAAAAAAGATAGGAATTATGCTTAATGCAATCGACCTAAATTTGGTGTGAGTGCAACTATATGCTACTTACTAAAAATTTAAAGTAAAAAGTATTAAAGTTGGTGTACCTATCATCTCAAAATACTAAAGAAAGTCTACATACATAGAATCGATGTTCAAATCTTTATGTACCTACTGCATTTTAGACAGACGATGAGGTAGAGGTCTTTTCTTCTTATGGATATTACTAATCTTAAAAAAGTCCCCTTGTAATTTTTTTCTTGTTCAACGATTGTATAAGTAATACTATAATACTGACAAATTATATTATAATGTAAATAATGTGCTTACAAATTTGAAAAATATATGTTTATAGCTGTCCTGTGATTGTTTAAAGTTGTATAATAAGTAAACGTGTAAGTCTAAGAAATTAATAATGTTTCTTAGATATTGTTATATGCAATATGAGATTTACTTTTGTTGTTATAGTAGAAAGGAAAATGAATTTAAAGATGATAGTACTTTAATATAACGTTAAAATCATCAAAAGTAAATCGCAGTGAAGCATTCTGCTAAAGTGACATCCTTAGTCGATACATATCTAAAAAGTACCAAGCAGTTGAATACAATTGCCTGTAGGTACGTTAAGGTTAAGTTGAAGAGCACCATGTAAATTAATGTGTACTACATAGAAATGCACCAACATGCATGTATATTGTTATTAGTATTACAGTTTATTTAGTGAATGTTAACGCTCAAAGGTAGGTACGCTAGGGTCGTAACTATAACTACAATGAAACAATCATTGATTGGCTGTTGTCAATCATCATTACTAAGGAGTGAATGGTTATCGATCTTTTACTGCTTGTTTTAAAAATTTATTTTAAATTTCCTCAATCACGATAAATATAGTTTACAACATGCAATAAGTCCTCAATAATTACTTCTTTTCTGTATTCGTTATATTGTAAATTATTGTTATTTATTTATTTATATTATATTTTATTATTATACATACTATTGCGTTTTTAACCTGATGCTCTACCAGTTCCACAATCACTACTGTAAAGTAATTGAAAATTAACATTATGGGCCGACTTGCCCTCAAATTCTCCAGCAGATTTTTAGTTTTAATTCAAATATCAAATTTATTTACAAAAAATGCGAATTCGATACGCTGATCTCAGCCGTGTCACCAATGGTACATCTACTTCTATATCATACCTTGTCATTTTTAACCCTTTTTCAGCAAGTGAAGACCTAATCCTTCTCTCAACGGTTGAAGAACAATTTTAATTTGAGCTGTCTAGTCTTGTCTTGTCTCATTGCAGGATGGCGTGCTCTCAGGTTTCCGAAGGATATTTTGCTCTGAAACGTGGACAAATTGAAGAGTCCTTAATAATAATAATAATAACTTTACCATCGATTGAAAAGTATGTGGTAGCTCTTTACGATAGAACAAGTATTGTATTTGTATTTGTATTTGTATTTATTTAGCATAATATATGGTTATTGATATAATGAAAAAATTGGCAACAATCACATAAGCCAAGGCTTGTACTTGATGGGTCATCGAGCATATTATACATGTACCTACACTATTACAACAAAAAAGAACAAAACAAATAGCCAATCCTTAAACCTTTTCTTAAATGCATGTAGGGTCTCTCAATTTTTTAAATAGATAGGCATTTTATTATAAAGCTTAACACCCAAGTATAATGCATGATGATGGGCATGAGAAGTACTCGTTTTAGGAATTATTAACGTCTTTCGGTTGCTTCTAGTATAATGTTCATGGACAAGCACTTTATATGTATCTTTGCGCTCAAAAGTAAAAGTAGTAATCTTTTGCAGATACAATTGTCGAATCGTTAATAATCCCGATTCAGCGAACAGAAGATTGGTAGGGTAGCGATAGTCTTTACCCATAAGTATTTTAATAATCCGTTTCTGTAAAATTTTTTCGCCAAATCTAGAAAAAGAGCTACAGTTTTTTTATTTTGGTCTAACTTACGATACAGAGTTGATGTCAATTCATAAATTGTATCGCTGGTACTTACACTTTTCCTAAAACCAAATTGGAATTCCGATAGAATATTATGTTTATTAATGAAGTCTATGATAATGATATTGATAATAATGACCAATAGGTTTGCTTATTATAGGATCAACTTTTTTAATAATAGAGTTTGATAATCCATCAATTCCCGGGGAGTAAGGGTTGTGTAATTTACGGATATGATTTTCTATCTCCACTTCAGTAACTGGTGATAAATAAATTGTGTTGGGGTTTATATTGGCAGAATTTAGCATCACTCTCTCAGCCGGGTAACGATCAATGTTTTCGGCCATAGTAACCGCTACATCTCTATAGTAAGTATTAAAAAAGTTTGCTTTACACTCATCATCAGTAATTATCTCCCCAAATATGCCCTGAATGTTCCCCAAAGGCCTTCTAGATTTGAAACCATTAGTCATCTCATTAATGACATCCCACGTCTTTTTTAAATTACCATTGCCTTGGTGAAGTCTATTTTTGTAATAATTTTGTTTTGTAAGCCTAATTAGTTTTGTCAAGTCCCATATGACCTGCACCGAATTGTGCGACTGCGGAGGCGAGTGTTCTCAAGATAGGGTTCAATAATTTTAGTGCCATAGTTATCGTTAACTTTCCTCTCAGCATTGTAATGTCTCAATAAATACTTACTTTAGAGCATAGTTATAAGTTAACTGTATAATATTCAATAGAGCAGCCAAAAGAAGTCATCGTCACGATTTTACATAAATTCTCCCTGGGTATTTGACAATTCTCTTCAACCTTCCTAGATGTAAGAAAGTACAAAACAAACCCTGGACATACATTTTTGACCCATTTTATTGGCGGTTATTGAAATTCTACCTTGCGCTTAAGAAACCCGCTAAGGCAAGTGCTGTCCGGGGTTGCGGGGGTGGCGGCATAGCTGAAATTGAACCTTAGGGTGTCTAGAAATTCCCCTGAAAGTTTCAAAAAGTTATCACAAAATGCAAGGTCCAACCCTATTTTGGTTCTTAACCCCTGCACTAAAATGTCTCCTTTTATATATCGATCGAGATATCTCGACAACGGTATACAGCAAAATCCTGAGGTTTTCAGCATTAGATTGGTATTAAGTATATCGAGTTATTCCTTAATCGATTACTCACCAAACTTTTGTCTTGTTTGCTGATTCTACACCTAAATTTTCTGTACTTGATGCATTCCTTCTCTTCTTGTATGTTTGGATTTGCTATACTGATGAACACGCTGGCATGGTAAATCGTCTTCATAATGTATTCTATGGATTATTTAGCTACATATGCACTCACATGCTCAACAAATACACTTTTTTTTGTCACGAATCAAAGAATAATTGCTTATTAATATAAGAAACAAAAACAAATCTTTATTTGTTACATATACACGCCAACACTGTAAACGTTACAACTTTAATATTTTGTATTGTCTAAGCCGATGGATTCTAAAAGTATCTATTTATTTATCCGTGCTTACTCGATTAGACCTTTCTTTATCTATACTCCACATATGACGAATAAAAAACAAAAATCGAGTTTCAACAGGTGCAGTTATTACATTTTTGCACTAAAAGCTACCGAACAACCGAGAAGTTTGTATTCTGTAGATGTTACGATAAGCTCGAATAAAAAGCTCTTCATTAAAACCTTCTTATCATTACTAAAGGTTTGTAACAAATAGTCAAATACCATACTGCCTACTAATACGACAATCATTGCATATTCCTTTAACTTTGCATTCAGTTTACGCCATATTCCCGTTACCAATACTTTAAGTGAGTTGGTATTTTTTCACAAGCACATCTTCTGCTAGTCGTAATACTGTTCAGTTGTGATTGTCATCGTGCGATTTGCATGTTCAAAGGCATTTTAAAAAGCCCATCCATGCGATTTCGCTGTAATTGACCATTTTTATTATTTGATGGTTGGTACATCACTCTTCTAAATCCATATTAGTTAACAACATTTTAAGGAGATTGAGGATGCCTAATCGAAACGGTTACAATAAATTTAATAAATTTGATGCAGCCGATGTAGGTATTCGAAAGATAGGAAAATCCTGCTTATAAAAATCCGATTAATCCTCCCGTTCGGAAAAATCAGAACTCAGAATTTTAAATATCTGAAAAAACTGGACACTGAAGAATTAATCGAAAACATCCGAGGAAATAGAAGAATCGTAAAGAATTCGAAATCCAGACCGCCAATCTAAGGAATCTAAGGCACTCATGGAGTCTGATGAATAGGAGAAATTCTAAAAAACGGAAGAATGTGAGGTATTTGAAAAAACACCCGGAGAATCTGAGGTTATAAAGAATATAAAGAAATCTGAAAACGCGATCCTGTAAAACGCGATCGAAATTTGGGGAAACATAATGCATTATGCAACGAGATATGCAACAATTGTTTGACGAGCAGAAAATAGCAATGAGAGCTATAAAGCGCGCATTATAGACTGCTCTTTGCAGCTTATACATATACAGGGTGTAGCACCTATAAAAACACCTCGGATCAGAGACTAGCAAGTCTGTGCCTCGGATCATAATTCCTTTACCATAAAAGATTCCGAAAAAAGTCTTGAGCAAAAGTATACGCAATTACCGCCGACATTCCAGTGGCATTTTTCAATGACACACCACATATTTTATTACTGATTTGGAGAGGACTTGAAAAGTACTTATTTTTTTATGTAACATGTTATACCCCTAACTTTAACGATTTCGCGGTTATAACCTTTTTTGTCCAAATTTGACATTTTTTCGAAATTTTTTTTGAGAGAAACTAAATTGCGCAGGCGGTTAATTTTTGGACTGAGGCACACGTTAAGACCCCTTTCACAATCAGATAGTTTTTTTAAGTGCTTTATCGAAAAAATAAAATTTTTGTTCGACCTTCGCCCTAGCCTTCGCAAAATTTCATATTTTAAAAAAATTTCAAATGGCACCCCGCTAAACAAACTAAACCTCTGGGTAGTCAAAACTATAAACTTTCCAATGATATAAACAAAACCATACATTCCATAAGAAAATTTCAGAGAAAAACCAAATCGAAACGCCAATTTGTAAAAAAAACGTTTTTTGCGAACGCAAGTGTGCCATGATAAAACAAAAGATGTTCAATTCTCACAATTAACAGTACAGTGTCGGCAGTGTATGATTGTTTTTGAATCAGCGTTGCGAAAATGTTCCAAACTCAAGCAGAACTGGTTGATGCGATGTTTATTCTTGGACACATCCAGATCCACACGCGTTTGAAAAGGTGTTGGGTAAATTTACAACTACCGGTTCACGCACACTAATATGGCGATTGTCAACAGTTGCTCCGAGAACTTTCAATTCTTTATCTTCCGCCAAAACCGGTATCCGTTTAACTCTCCTTGCTCGTTTTGCACGACCAGTAGCTGTCAATCTATCCAACACTTTTTGAAACACGTGTGCATTTGAATGTGTTCTGCCAGGATATCTCCTAGCGTACACTTATGACGCCAGCAAACAATTCCGGTAACGATCTCTAAGAATAAACATTATATCAACCATTCCTGCTTGAATTTGGCACCATTTTGGCAACGTTGATTACAAACACTGTCGAGACTTTACTGTTAATTGTGAGAATTGAAGATCTTTTGTTTCATCGTGGCAGACTTAGGTTCGGAAAAAGATTTTTTTACAAATTGGCGTTTGGACTTGGTTTTTCTCTGAAATTTTCTTATGGAATGAGTGGTTTTCTTTATATCAGTGGAAAATGTAGTTTTGCCTACCCAGAGGTATAATTTGTTTAGGGGGGTACCATTTGAAATTTTTAAAACATTTGGCGAAGGTCAATCAAACATTTAATTTTTTTATAAAGTACCTAACAAAATTCGGTGACTGGGAAGAGGTCTTAACCCACGCTTCAGTCCAAAACTTAGCCGCCTACGCGAATTAGTTTCTCTCAAAAAAATTTCGAAAAACTTAAATTTTGACGAAAAAAGTTATAAAAGCGAAATCGTTAAAGTTAGGGGTATAGCCGGTTACATAAAGAATAAGTATTTTTCAAGTAAATTTCAAATCAGTAATAAAACATGGGGTGTCCATTTTAAAAAAAAGCAGGTTTGATACGCCACTGGAATACAGCACGCCCCTGGTGATCGAAAATATTTTAGAAATATGGCGGCGGTAAATATGGGTCAATTTTTCTCTAGGACTTTAGCGGTATCTTTTATGGTAAACGAATTATGATCCGAGGAGTCTTAGGGGCTACACCCTATATAAAGTGGTATCAGAAGTCCATAGGCAGCAGAAGAATTTAATTGCAAGAATTTACACTATGCCATAACTACAAAACTCCCTATTGTCAACACCCGGGTGTTAGATTACGCGCAACCGAATATCTGCAGTATAGGTAACCTATGCCCAAAAGACTGGAAAGCGGTGAGGCCCAAAGTATTTAAAGTAAACTTGAAACAGCACCTGATCGCAAAAGCACTCTACTCTCACAGAAAATCAACCTTAAATAAAATAAATAAGAAACTTTTAAACACGCCAGAATTTTTGCTCCCTCCTAAGCCTGGGTGAAGTGTGAAGGAAAGTAACGATGCGTCCTTTTGTCTCGCCAATTTAACATGCATCCAATTTCATGCGTCCTTATGTCGCGACACCGAAGTCAATTTACTCCTTCCACCGTAGCTGTAGTTAGATTTACAGAAAAAGTATTACGTGTTTAGAGATGACTATAAATTCCGTTTTCCAGAAATCTATAGGTAGGTACAGAACTGGGTCAAGCGTTCTAAAAAACCGCTCGAGCGACGAGTGACAACCGCTCTAATTGTCTCAAAAATGCTCGCGAGTATCGAGCTGTTTTGCAAAGCGAAATCGCGTGCGCGTTCCGAGTACTCCTAAAAGTGCTCGAGCAGTTTATCGCGAGCGCTCGGGAAAACTGCTCGTGAGCGGAGAGACACTCAAGAGCGGAAAAAACGCTCGCGAGCGGGCTTAATCCTTCAGCGCTTGAGGGCGGTTAAAAGCGCTCATGAGCAAAAAAAAAACGATCAGGAGCAGAAAAGCCGCTCGCGGGCAGAAAAAGCGCTCGAGTGCCGAGGACTTTGTAAACGCTCGAGTATCGAGCACCAAGCGGCCGGTCCGAAAAGTGCTCGCGCTTTTGTGCTTGAAGCGTTTTTTTGAGCGAAACGCTCGCGAGCAGTACCCAGCTCTGGGTAGGTAATACTCAGAAGCGTTACCATGAAAAATCTTGAATCTTGGGTATTTTATTAACTTCGCCGTTCGCGGAAAGAATAATTTTCCCTAGGGTTGGACAAGGGAAGGGGAGTCACCTTTGAAAGCAAACATTCGTCGATTGGACTAATAGCCTTTACACATGCCAAAAATAAAAAATTGGTTCCAACCCCAATACACCGAATTTATTACATTCAGTACCACATTAATATTTCAGATTGGCATCGAACTGGTTTGGCAACTTTATCGTGATTTTTTTCATTTGACAACTGTCAGCTTCACAACAATCCCTCTCCGTAATCCTTGGAAGGGCAGTATGAGACGGCGAATACATGTCCATCAAACTTTTAGCACTTAAAAGAACTTGCAACAATTCGACTCCAGTTTGGCATGATAACGTTCTTTTCTGTGGAATTTCTTTAACCGGTTTTTCGTTTTCTCTACAGCTGCAGCTACTGTCCCTCCAACTATTTATTGAGCTTTTTTCGGATATAGCGGTCGACACCCTACACCCGATATGGCACCTAATATTTTTGCTTGTAGTAAAGAAGGATCGATTATTTTTTTCGGGCCGAAAAAGAATTATGTACAGTTTTGGAATAAACAAAAAAATCCACGTAACCATTGCACTAAGAGTAACACACATACACATGGTAATCACTTTCGAATCGCTGCCAAAATATATGGGCACAAACGCTATCCAAATAACGCACGTTGTGTACATTGCGAATCCAATAAACTTCGCTTCGTTAAAATTCTCTGGAACATTCCTTGTTTTTACTGCGTAGACAGTGCAGAAGAATATTAAAAGAAAGTCGAACGCAAGCGGCACTACAACCCCTTCAGGCGTCGTATTACACTCAAGAACTGTCCTGGTCGGGTGATAAGTGTGGGTGCTGCTTGCTTCTTGATACATGAGCATCCCTATTGAAATGAATACTTCAATTCCTATAAGAAAACACGTTATTATTATTTGAGCGGTGGCAGACATAAATAATGGCTTCCTCGTTGGAAATCTCTTTTTAGATCCCGCTAAAATACGTGAGATTCTATTCGTCTTTGTCAGTAAAGCAGCGTATATCATTGCGAAGCTTAATCCGGGAATGAAACGGTTTAACGTACAGGTCATTTTCGTCGGTTTTGCTAAAATAATAAAAATCGACGCGTGTGATATCATCATCCCCGCGAGAATAGTATAGGAAAGCTCTTTGGTGGACGATTTCACAACTGGGGTATTACTATACTGAGCGAATATAATTAGCGCGAATAAAGTTATGAAGAATCCTAACGACGCGAAAAAAATTGCAACCACAGCTTGAGTGTCGAACCATTGCATATGTTCAATTGGTAGAGGAAGACAAACTGGAAAATATATTATAAAATTGATGATGGGAAAGTACATGAGCGCTTGCCTGTTTGAGCTTTATCTGGAATGGTTCCTAATGGGCATCTCTGGCAACTCTTGAAATCGGAAGCTTCATCTAAGATTTCACCGAAAGGGCATCGTACGCAGACCCAACAGCAGCGTTTGTCCTTGCCTCCTTGTTGTACATTCTAAAATAGAAAGCAAAACATCAAATTAATTATACCTGAAACTTGTATTTGGTGTATTATTACGGTGCCATACATCACATTAAGAGATTGGCCGGTAAGATAAAATTTGAGCGATTCTCTGATATTTTCTGAAAAAAGTGTGTGAGCTAAAATGGAACGCAAAGTCACGATTTTTTTACATATTTTTAGTTAGGCGCAACAAGGAAAGCGCTGAAAATTTCACATTATTATTTCACCCAAAATATAATGCCTAACCATCGCTTGATCTACAAAGTCGCACAAAATGCTAAACGCGCGGGAATATTCTGGAACACGACGGCGTTTTCTAGACTTCTAAGACATTTATTAGTTTTCTAAGTAACCGGGTGTACGCAATTTGTAAGATCTGAAAGGAAACTTTTTTGTCTGATAAAAGAACACATATAGTAGCGTTCGTAACAATAAACCAAGTATTAAATTGTTTTGCTTGATGCGCTTTGTTATAATTTCATTGGATATGTGTGTAACTGTCCGTAATAATATACAACTAAAAGTAATAAATAAAAACCAATCCAAACATTTACTAAACGAACCGACATTTTTGGAGTAACATCTAAATTCAATGTCATAGTTTCATAAATTTCAGAAAGAGAGCAATAATGCGTAATATGCGGGGAATACGAGCACAGTCACAAATTGATTGCACCAAAGCACATAATATGCAACACCATTTTCTGCATTAGCATTTATTATATTACAGATTTTCACCCGTGGCATCGTACGCTAGATATTGACGGATATAATGTAACGAAAACTCGGCTTACAGAATGTAAAAATGTAAATACATAGGCACGGTACGCGAAATACCTTTGGTTGAAGCTTTCACAAACGCGCGTAGTATGCTTCCAAATCTGTTCCACTTTTTAATCGCAGCATTGTTTGAAGTTTTGAATGAATGCACCAAAAGATGGAAGATATAAATACTTTTTTTTACTACTAGCGTCTGATGACATGATTATTAACCTTTTTAGCGCATTTCCACAAAAATAAAAAAAAATGCGCTATTGTGGCCACTTTGTCCGTCCGTCCGTCCGTCCGTCCGTCCGTCCGCTAACTTTGCGACGCTACTAGTTTTTTATCTTAAGAGCTATTGTTCTACTTTTTTCGCTATTTGGTTCGTTATGGTGTCGAGTCTTGTACCAAGGAAGGAATTTTTTCTGTACCGCTTACAAAAAAAGTTATTGTAAAAAAAACAAAAAACCGTTTTTTACATGTTCCATAATTTTACACTTTTGCCGTTTATTAACGATCCTAGAGATCGTTTATAATTTTGCATTGCTATCTGTCGCCTGCCGGTTGGTCTCTCCGTCTGTTCCTTTGTCTGTCTGTCCATCTATCTGTCCGTGTGAACGATAACTTTGTTTAGAAATGTTCGATCGCTTTTACATCTCCGTTAGTTATGAACTGAATTGCATGAAATTCAATATGGGCATAGCTTTAGCCATATAATACGCAATGCCAAAAGTTGAATCGAATCGATTCAAAATTCACAGTGCCCTTTTCGCATCTCGACCATTTATAAACCGAATTGCAAACTTTTTTACTTATAAAAGTATTTGAATGAAATTTGATACATAGGCACTTGGAATAAAGGAAAATCAAACGCCAATTTCAAAATTTGGTTTTGCGCATGCGCAGTGCCAACTTTTTTATTTATGGAAGAATTTAAACGAAATTTGATACATAGGCACTTGGGATAAAGGAAAATCAAACGCCAATTTCAAAATTTGGTTTTGCGCATGCGCAGTGCCAACTTTTTTATTTATGGAAGAATTTAAACGAAATTTGATACATAGGCACTTGGGATAAAGGAAAATCAAACGCCAATTTCAAAATTTGGTTTTGCGCATGCGCAGTGCCAACTTTTTTATTTATGGAAGAATTTAAACGAAATTTGATACATAGGCACTTGGGATAAAGGAAAATCAAACGCCAATTTCAAAATTTGGTTTTGCGCATGCGCAGTGCCAACTTTTTTATTTATGGAAGAATTTAAACGAAATTTGATACATAGGCACTTGGGATAAAGGAAAATCAAACGCCAATTTCAAAATTTGGTTTTGCGCATGCGCAGTGCCAACTTTTTTATTTATGGAAGAATTTAAACGAAATTTGATACATAAGCACTTCGAATAAAGGAAAATCAAACGCCAATTTCAAAATTTGGTTTTGCGCATGCGCAGTGCCAACTTTTTTATTTATGGAAGAATTTAAACGAAATTTGATACATAGGCACTTGGAATAAAGGAAAATCAAACGCCAATTTCAAAATTTGGTTTTGCGCATGCGCAGTGCCAACTTTTTATTTATGGAAGAATTTAAACGAAATTTGATACATAGGCACTTGGAATAAAGGAAAATCTAGCGCCAGTTTCAAAATTTTATTTTGCGCATGCGCCGTGCCAACTTTTTTATCTATGGAACTATTTAAGTGAAATTTGATACTTAGGCGCTTGGAACAAAGGAAAATCTAACATTAGTTTTAAAATTTAGGTTTGCGCATGCGCAGTTCCAACTTTCTTATTTAGAAAAGCATTGAAATGAAATTCTTCTCATAAACTGAAATTGAAGTAGCACGTCAACAATGGGTTGCCCATGCGTGCAACGCTATCTTTCATATTTGTGGGCGGATTTTTACGATTTTAACAGAAGTTGCATCTTACAAATGGGAAATGAATGCAAGTGGAAATGCGCTTTATGTAAATCGTTTACGATTACTTTTTAACTTGTTTCCACTTGTTAAGTAGGCTTTCTCGGCAATTGTTCAAAGTGGTTAATAATGTGGACATTATTAACTAGTAGTCAATAATGAGAACTGTCACGCTGTCACTTTTAGAAAACACAACCCGAAATTTCGCTCAATAAACGTTTAGACAAATTCTCTGAAATGAATAATTGCCACCACCCGCCATTTCCAGAGAAATTACATACCTAAAATTATCACATTTTGAAAAAATTCGAACGAAATTACTTTTTGACAATATCTCAATGACAGAACAAAATACGGCCTGTTTGACTTGTACTTCTACGTACTTGATTGGCATGTTAAATTAAGAAACAAAAAATTCTGTCCAACCGTTCACTTTCTTATCAACATAATATGTTAATTTAGAGGACTTCAAGTGCTAGTAGTGAAAAAAATAGTATATATACCACGGTAGAGAAGTATATTATTGCCTTCGCACCTCACACCCCTCGGCGCAAGCGCCTCGAGAGGTAATTTTGGTGCTCAGGCAATAATAGTGGCCTTCTCTACCTTGATATAGGTATAATGTACTATTTCAGGACCATCTAACAAAATCAGTGTTTTTAAAACCTTTGAAATCTAAAAGAGGTACGGAAGTACCTTACAATCTTTTAGACATTTTTTGTATAATAGGTACTCCTTACATCCTCCAATGTGGCAATGGAACAGAGTTCACCGCAGCGCAGTCATAAATGAACTTGCTGATTGATATGTTCGAAGTTATTTATGCATCAAGGGCATTAAGGGCTTATACACTTGTGTCTTAATATACTATTAGTGTGAATTATTCTGGGCGAATTTTGGCTTAACCGGAAAGTTATTAAGAAAAGCTTGGTATTAATTTGTAAAGGATTTGCTACAATTAAATAAACTGCACGTGAGCGTAGTTTCCCGGGCAAGCAAGTGGCATATTCATCATTCGATATTCGACATTCGCGAAATTATAACTAAAAAACTGTCAACACGCCAATAGTAATCTTAATTTAATCGGCCCCATTATTAAAGACGTCATTGTGACCATACTTTTGCGGAAATGCTTACTGATGATTTTTCCGATTAAGTATACTAAACAATAACAAAGTTCAATAAAATGAGTGATGTACGAAAATTAATTTTCGCTTACAAGTAAAAACAACCACCGAAGTTTGAGGCTATTACATTCAAGAAAAATCTCCAATTTGAAGTGATACCTAAATACTAGAAGAATTAATTGCCAACGGATTTCAAATGCACTTTACTGAAAACAACTGAACATCTTTATATACCATCCAGCTGTACCTAGATGTTAAGAATTTCAATCCATTCTATAACCTAAAAGATTCGTAGTCTGATATTTCGAAGACAGAAAAGGGTATTCACAAAGGAAGAGTGGAAGTTGTGAATTAGATACATCTGGCGATAAGGAGAAAATTAAAATTCAGATATATGAAGAAGTTAATATCGGAAGTGGGTACTCACAAGGAGAAAGTGATAATCTTGGTTTCATATTCGTTGAAGTTATACTTGTTTTAGGTTAATGTCAATTTGAGTTTCATTGGGATTGCTTTCGCTATTTCCAGGGATCAGCGCGCAGTGGTTTTGATCGCATTAATTGAATTCATAATATGACTTAAGATATAGTTAGCAGCGATGATTCGCAGACATCCATCGGTTTTTCAAGATCAATTAAGGATAATTTTCATTAATATCATAAAGAGCACGGCACGTGTTCGCATTTACAAAAAGTTGTTAGGACTTTAATTACATACCTTGTAGTGACCATGAGGACAAGGAGCCGAACAAACTGATTCCATGGAAGAATGCGGGCCAAATTGCAAATCGGATATCCAATTTAGCGTTCTGTTATTCCATATACCAACTTGGACATAGTCAAATCTTCCATCTGCCAGTCTTTGATAATTTACAATGTCGTACCGGCCTGGAGGATCACCGTTGTCATCAAATTCTACAATGTCATCCTTGTAGGTAAAACTTACATTTAAAAGATAATTCTAAAATTAGAACAACGACGTAATTTACATCAAACCCTTTGACAAATTTACCTACCTTGAACAGGGAACCATTAAAAGGGTTCAATTTATCACAGACTCCAAAATACTTATCGCCACAGATTTCTTGATGCATATTTTGTAGAGCGTAAGCGAACGTATAGACGGCTTTAATTACAAAGCTTAGTTTAGGATCTTGTCGATACTCTTGAGATAGCCGTTCATTTCCTAAAATAGTACATTATATGAATCCAGAAATACAATTGGCAATGGTGACTCATAGGCTTTCGATAGTCAAATTAGGATATTTGCTCATTACTAGTATATAAGTTACTAAGGGAGCCCACGTTTCACGTCTCATTATGAGGAAGAGTACTTTTAACAACTATTTGGCTGTAGAAAATGATTTGTGCTGTAATTGTAAGTTGTTTTCTAATTAGATTTGCGCCAGTAATTTCGCTTCCATTAAATTTTGCCCCAAATATTCTCCCCCAGAAGATTTGCCCCAAAATTGTTCGCCTATGGAAGTGCCACTCTCAAAATATTCACCCCCAGAATACGCATTCCTCAAAAATTGGTCTCCGTCGGAATATCCCCTCGCAAGAAAAATGCACTTTCAGGAGATCTGAAACCTAAAGAAACTACGCTGAAAGAACTGCTGCTGGGAATTTACTCGGGAGAGTTTTGCCGGGCGGAAGCGAAATTTGTCACAGGAGTGTATGAGGGGTCTGGCGTTGAGTAAGTAGCAATTACCTATTTAAGGTTTGTAAAATTTTGTATTCTTAAATGCAGTTCTTTGTGTGTACCGAGAGTTTTTCTGAAAATGAACGATCTTTGGACAAAGTTGCTAGTCACCAAAATATATTGCGATAGAAACTCATCTTCTTTGGAAGTTAAAAGTTCGGGAGCGAATCCGAGACCAATTTACCTGGAGAAGCGAGTTTTCTTGGTGGCAAATTTTCAGAAAAAAATTATTTTTCTAAAATGAATGTCCTTATGATCAAACACATTACATTGAACACTTTTAAATAGGTTTTTGCGCTGGTATGGTATGGTACCTGTTTCAAATTTCATCGAAAGGATTCAGTCTTTTCGCATGGTTATTTCTTACTTAAATTATACGTCGTCTAGTATAAAAACAGTCTCAGGTAGCCGCCCACTGTAAAACGTATGTCTTTTTCTTCGTATGGGCTAGATAGAGATAAAAATATAATAGCATAATTTGTGTACAGCCCATAGGCCACCAGTTTTGCAGTGGGTGGCTGCCTGCGATGATTGACGTGACTGTTTTTGTATTAGAAGAGCAATAGTAAAGAAAGCCGGGGTAATGCATGAATGCATGTACTAAACTGAGGTGTGCACTGACATTTTCGCACGTTGCTATTTCACCTAAAAAAAAATATTTTTGCGGCTGTTAGTTATGATTTGCAAATAAATGTGAATGAAATGCCATTTTGCCTTATTTAATTATATTTTGTAAAATGTTAGGAACCAAACTGATAAATAATTAATAAACACGCCAACCTAATTGCTTTTTTAGCAATCGCTTCTTAAAAGCTCCACGCCATTCGAAAAACACAACGTACAAACCAGGGTCCTAAAGCTCTATTATCTACGAAGCGAAGTTTTAGCCTAAGAGAAGGAGAGTGGAAAATTAGTTATGTTAAGACTTACCACAGTACTTTGAACAATGTACCTAGAGACGCGTGTATTTTATTAAAGGAGATCGCATAGAATGAGACGAAATTAACATTGAAGTGCAAATATCTTTTGAGAAGGTCTATATTTTTATACTGGTTTAGCGGTAATCAAGTTTAACCTTAGTAATAGGATTTTTTCGAATGAGCGACAATGAATACATTCCTGTTGGAGAAACGCTTTGTCAGCCTCTTTCATAAGATAATTACATTCTTTAATTTTAGTCGGAAAAATCCTAATCTGCTTGAAATTTAAAATTTCGCGAAGTATAAGGGGAAATGCGAAGAATTACTGAATTAGTGAATTGCATAGCCGGCGCTTCAACTTGAAGTTGGACCGTTGAGCTATCATGAAAATAACTATAACCGAAACGGAGTAATAAAATTTACATAACGCCATATTTCTTTACTCCCAATTTAGGGAACTGCAAAGTGCGTATACTTTAAGCAATAAAAAATTGATGGTGCACAATTTATATATACCTACAGCCAGTTTAAAATACAGTGCATCTTCAACATTTTGCCGCCATTTGTTACTCCAAGTAAAATGAATAAATAGAACATAAAATTTATTTAAATGAAATACACTGAAAACTTTAGTAAGATAACATCTATGATTCTCTTCTCTTTGAGGTGCGTATAACATAAACTTAGGGTAGGTACCTATGTGTCGCTCTAATTTGAAACAATCTCCTTGTACGTACATTCTAATTTTATGTTATAAATACGATAGCTGTTCTGTTGACTTGGAAAGTATCACATGCTATATTTTCATCTCCTTTCACGTGTAATATTTTTCCACGTTGATCTGGGATCGAAAGTTATTGAACGACGATTAAGATCTGAATATCTGTACACAGCATCTTTTCGGCATTCAAGTAAAACATAACAGAAGTCGACGAAAATCCTATTGCTATTTCATGTCTTTTTTTGGAGTTGACTTCGTAACTTAAATGTTTTTACCTATCAAATGCTAAAAAGAAAAAAATGTTCAAAAATGGACCAAAATAAATAAGGTCTAAGTAAGATACAGGTCCAAAATGTTTCGTTGGGGAGCTGTCACCAAAAATCTCAAAGTGTGGGTATCGTGCTTAATTTTTTTCTCATAACATAAATGTGTTTTTATAGAAATGTAACAATGTTTTTGATTTGATAGTTTAGTGCAGCAGAGTTTCTTTAGCCCTTTCATATTCTCTCGTTTCTGAAGATTCTTTAAAATCTTTCATTTCTTTAATTTCTTTTCTTGCTGTTAGGTTTCATATTCTTTATTCTCAACAGTTGGGTTATTCCATATGCTCAAATGTTTCAAATTAATTTTCCATTGTTTAGTACCTTCAAATTCTTCGAATTCGTCCCATACTTCGACTTCCAATTTTTCCTATTGGTCTGATTCTTCAGATTTTTCAGGCGCTTTAAATTTTTTCATCGTCGTACTTTTCGGATTTATCAAATATTGGAATTCATGAACTTTCTATTCCTTGGATTATTTCACTTTTTTGAAACATGGAGGTCCTTCTGTTATTAGGATTTTTTAAAAGCATTCGTTTGATCGGGTATTTTTTTAGATTTCTGGAATTCTTAGGATACTTTAATTTTTTCAGATTTGCAAGATTCGTGAGATTGTTGATATTCTTCGAATTCCTTTGATTTTTTAAATTTTTTTAGATTTGTGATTCCACTGATGCATCCATTTTCTCAGAATAATTCCGATCCTTGATTGTTAAAATTCTTTCAGTACATAAGATATTCCAAATTCTGAAGGTTCTTCGAATTCTTTCGATTTCTCATATTAAAATTCTTTATTTTTATGATTCTTTGGGTTCTTGAATAACCGGATTTTCAGGTTCCTCCAGGTTTATCAATTGTTTTTATTTTAGCTTCCCGTCAAAAGTTTTTACTCGTAGTTGTCGAAGTAAAAAAAGGCATAATCACGTGTGGTTTAATCATCATCTCAAGAATATGCACGACGTTTTGAAGGTGCATAATTCTCACAACAGGAGAATATATTATGATTACCATACTCGTCAGCTTGTAAGTAAGTACCATAAAGTATACAGGGTGTTTCGCAATTGGCGCACACGGACTGTGGGATGGTGTTATACAACGAAAACTGAATAAAAAAGTTCCTCTACTAGTTTTTGATCAGACCGGTACTTTTTTTTCGGCGTGCTGAAGCTTGTTTACTAGCAGAAGGCGCACATTTTGAACAACTGTTGTAATTACCTACTCGTCATAATTATAGTTTATTTTGTACCTTCTTTTGTTTTTAAAAATGTGTTATTATTATGTTTAACCAGTGGCGTAGCGTAAGGGGGCGGCGGAGATTTTTAAAACCGCGGTAGTTTGAAAAATAGCGGTCTGATGGAAAACTGGTAGAGGAACTTTTTCTTCAGTTTTTGTCGTATAACACCATCCCATACTCCGTGTGCGCGAATTTCGAAACACCCTGTATAAAGGCGAATAGCTGCCAATGACACATTTATTCAAAATGCTAATTGTAAATCAAGGGCTATATGGCAAATTATTAAGCAGGGCGTATCTGATGTTTTTCTTGAAAGTAGTAATTTAACATCTGATCAATTTAACAACCATTTTGTTGAAATTGGAGAAAATATTAGATCTCACTTCCTAATGAGAAAAATAACCCGATGTTCTACTTTAATAGTTATCATAATATAACTACATGTTTTGATTTTTGTGAAGTATCTTACAATGATGTGCGAGATAGTGTCAATAGCATCAAGAACAGTAATAGTAAAAACTTTTGTTTAATGCTTTCGTAAATAGCATTGCGCATTATCTACATTAGAAATTTCATTGAATACCTTCATACAGCATGCGTAAACAGTAATTTTGAAACCGGTATTAGTGTTAGTTTCATTCAAAGTGCCTACTTTATTATATTTCATTTAACTGCTTTCGTAAATAAGAAAGTTGCTATTGCGCATACGCAAAAACAAATTTTAAAACTGGTGTTAGATTTGCTTGTATTCCAAGTGCCTATGTATTAAATTTCATTTAAATGCTTCCGTAAATAAGGATGTTGGCATTGCGCATGCGCAAAACCAAATTTTGCAACTGGTGTTAGATTTGTCTTTATTCCAAATGCCTATGTATAAAATTCGTCGTTGATTTTACTTATATTGGTAGTGTGTACATATAAAGTTTCACTTAAATCTCTTCATAAATAAAAAAAGTTAGCATTGCACATGCGTTAAACCAAATTTTTGACACTGCGCATGCGCAAAACCAAAAAATATATGTATGCACGGTCCCCATATCGCCCAAATCGGTTCAGTGGTGTAGAAGGAGTACGTGTGACGGACGGACGACAAAGTGCAGCCAATAGCGATTTTTCAATTTGATGAAAATTCGCTAACAATCGACAAGTAGTGCAATATTGAGACTTACGGATTACATTTTGGATAGTTTTGAGAATAGTAAGTTTTGTGTTGCCAATTTTTTAGATCTAACAAAGGCTTTTGATTGTGTAACTCACTCTTGCTTGTTGCAGAAGCTATCAGGATATAA